AAAAACCAGACGCCATCTATTGGCGAGGGCCATTAGCCAGAAACCATGGTCTCTAGGTGGACGCTTTTCAGTTTGCCAAAGTTGGTGTTGTGGCTTTGTCATCGATCCGAGGCCGCTAGTAGCGGCGATGGTCAATAGATGGTGTCTGGTTTTTAGATGTCTATTTTGACGGGAGAGGCGACCTTTGTCTCTTTATATATGTTTATTAAGATATTATTTGAAATGTTAAAGGCGGTACTTTTATCAAATTATGTTTTGTATATTTTCTTGGCTCAAATAGGGTAATCTCTGATCAAGACTTCATATTTTTATCAAAATTGTTATTTCAACCATGACTGCATTGCCATAGAATAATCATCAACATGATTCAAAACAACAGAAATCTTATCTTTTTTTATTTAAAATATAATATATATATATTTGTAGTTGTTATTCCCTGCCTCCACCGTGTGACTTGTTACATTTGAGTGTTTTGTTGAGGGTAGGCTGAGACCTTCGATACTGCCAAGACAACCCTGAATGAACTCTTTGGATTGAACTCTCTCTTCTGGTGTAAGTACATCTCAACTTGGCTCTATACTGATGTCTCTACATTCCTCCAGCTTCAATACCAACTCTATACTGATGTCTCTACATTCCTTCAGCTTCTTTAATTCAATACCAACCAAGGGATCAGGATTTTTGGTTAAAGTCAGTGTTGAATTATAGAGGTGTGTTATACTCTATTTTATATATCAAAATACAGTAGAACAACCTCCATGAGAGGACACTCCTGCTAGAGGACATCTCTATACAAAGGATAGTTTTCATTTCCAATACAGTAGAACAACCTCCATGAGAGAAGACATTCCAGCTAGAAGACACCTCTCTACAAAGGATAGTTTTCATTGCCAATACAATAGAACAACCTCCATGAGAGGACACCTCTCTACAAAGGACAGTTTTCATCACCAATACAGTAGAACAACCTCCATGAGAGGACACCTCTCTACAAAGGACAGTTTTCATCACCAATACAGTAGAACAACTTCAATGAGAGGACATTCCAGCTAGAGGACAACTCTCTACAAAGGACAGTTTTCATCGCGAATACAGTAGAACAACCTTCATGAGAAGACATTCCAGCTAGAGGACACCTCTCTATAAAGGACAGTTTTCATCACCAATACAGTAGAACAACCTCCATGAGATTCCAGCTAGAAGACACCTCTCTACAAAGGACAGTTTCCATCACCAATACAGTAGAACAACCTTCATGAGAGAACACCTCTCTACAGAGGACAGTTTTCAACACCAATACAGTAGAACAAGGATGGTATAAAGTACTATTCACCTTTCAGCCATTAAGTATCTTCCATCCTTGCTAGATTTACTGATAGGATTGTGTGTCCACAGGCTACCTCATCTCTCAGGGAGTCAACCCCAACACTTCAGAAATCAAGACAGAGCTGGTGAGTTCTTGCATTCCAAATGTTTCCTTGTAAAGTCTATGGGATCATATCCTTGCATCATGGCAGCTTTTATTAATCATATGATCCACATTGGTGGATGTTTTGCCTGTCTTTTGAGTGCACAGTCCTTGGGTAAGGATCCTTCCGATTCTCACACATGCATACCCACATAAACATCCCTACACCAAACACACACAGCCTTTTATTGTGGAACTGTCTTGTTTCACAAAGTGTGTTCTTTCCATTGTTTTGATAAAGCACAATTTGGATTATAGATTATAATAAAGAAAATAAGACCTAATCCAAATAATTTATTAGTGTGTGACGTTTCGGCAACAACATTTTATTTTTTTGTCTGATGATGGTGACAATGTTGTTGCCGAAACACACCCTAATAAATTATTTGGATTAGGTCTTATTTTCTTTTATTAATTTTTCTGTTGTTTTCTTTAATGGAATTCTTTAGACATGTATGCCTGAGTGCTGTTGTTCAAGCTGCGTGTCTGCGCAGGACAATGTGAAGAAGTACATGAAGAGAGCCAATGACATTGAACTGCGAGGCAAGGGACCTCGTATCAACAAGGAAGCTGCTGCTCGGTTCATCAAGAACTCCCTCAACAGAGCTCCAGAAGGTGAGGACAGTGGTGGTTCAGTATAGCTGACTAGTCCCCCACAAGAGAATACCATAGGTTTATAATGGTTGCAAAGAGAGCACTGCTTCATGAGTCTTATCCTGATAGTCTGTATCCAAGGATACAGGATAAGCAGCATTTGCACTCCATGTTAGGAGTGGCTGTACATGGTGTCTGTTCCTCATGTCAGAGGCGGCCGTTTATTTTGGAGCTAAGTCAGTGGCCTGCCACTGAGTAGTGCTCTAGTCTTAATGACAAAGGCAGACACATTCTACTTCATCCAGTCATGATGGTTGTCAAACAGACACCATCAAGGGTCACAACTTGATTTCCTAATATGATTGAGTGGAAATTTTAAATAAGAAAGAAGAAGTCTTATTTCAATGAAAGAGGAAGCTTTTCCTTTTTTTTTTTTTTTTTTGGATATCTCATTCCTCTCAGGCAAAATTTCTAACCAGTTTTGATTGATACCACCACAAGATCTACCACTAAAAACATGGCTAAGACAGCTCTCTTCCAGAGGTTGATTGATGTGATTGAAACTGGTTTGTTAATCGTTCATATAAGGTTTACATGTTTTGGTCATTACTATCGTCAGTAGGGACCTGGTCTTGTGACAATTTTTGACAATTAAACAACTTCATTGACATCTCGTCAATCTTTACACTCAAAGGGAGTTATAAGGTAATAATAATGGTAGGAATGAAGAGAGATATATACAACGACACTTGAAGTTACACTGCATGAGTTTCTTTTAAACGAAAAATCAAAATTTTATTTCAAAGTGAAATATCGACTATTTCTAACCTTTTTGGATGAGGTATGAAATAGTTGATATTTCACCTTGAAATAAAATTTTGATTTTTTGTTTAAAAGAAACTTATGCGGTGTGTAACTTCAAGTGTCGTTTTACAATCACAGGCCGCAGTGTATTATATTGTATTAGAGATATATATAATCGATGTAGCCCTCTCCGAGGGCACGTCCGGATCGGGAGCTTAAAGCCTCCTTGAATCTAGACAGATCCCTGCCATTTGGGGAGTTCATGGTCTTGTGGTGGTAACAATCAAAACTGGTTAGAAATTTTGCCTGGGAGGAACAGGATATCCAAAAAAGAGAGAGAAAAGGCTTCCTCTTCCATTTAAATAAGTCTCATGAACAAGAGAGTAAATTGAAAATTTTAAATTATTTACATCGGACGAATCTAACTAAGGGTCATCTGGTTCAATGTAACATTCCGCCCTGAAGTTGGACAGATTCCCCGACTATTGCCATGTTGAGGAATGCTTCAGAGCAGACCTCTGCCAGGATGTTATACGGATAGAAAATGTGATAGAGGGTGTCTATTATCAGAGACTCTTGTGCCATGTCATGAGGAGGCTTTCAACAGAACCACTGTCTCTGATGAGAGACCAGATATGGCCATGTTTATAAGCTATGGTCTCCCACACAGGAAACCCTAACTATATCAGAAAGTGATAAGGCACAATTTGGATTATTAATTATAAACATAAGGTTATTGGATTTAGTCTTCTTTTTTTTTTTGCTTATCCCTGGTACATATGATACAGGCCATGATAATCACAGTAGGTAGAAGTAAGCGACTGCTTTTACTGTAAGTGCACCACATGTCTACACAAAAGAAGTTCGACTTTGCACTTACAAATGTGCGGATTTAGTCTTATTACCTTATATCAGAAGAGAAGTAACAAGAGTAAACTGTAATTTATAATACAATAAAAATGCGGCTTATAATTGTAGAATGACATTTGAAAGAGCACTGCTTCATGAGTCTTATTTCACTTTTTTTTTTTTGTTTATCATTACTCTTCACAATTCATCCTTTCATACTTCATCCCAAAGGTTAGAAATAATCGTTATTTCTCCTTAAAATAAATTTTGATTTTTCGTTCAAAAGAAACACATGTGGGTTAATTTTGAAATGTCGTACTACAAGAGTAAACTGTATTTATCATGTTTTGGTCATTGCTACGATCAAGTAGGAATCTGGTCTTGTGGTGGTAACAATCAAAACTGTTTAGAAATTTTGCCTTGAAGGAACGTGATATCCAAAAAAGGAGGAAAGGGTTCCTCTTCCATTGAAATAAGTCTCGTGAACTAGTGCTTTGCAACTATTATAAACTTTACATCTATCTCAAAACTCTCACTTGGTTAATACTTGAATTAGATATAATAGGTTCTTTCTTTCTTATCTCCACTCAATCACACTAAGGTATCAAGCTTGTAAAGCTTGTTGATGGTGTCTGCCGGGGAAGAGTAGAGCTCATCAATGGATGAGTCAATAATGTGTCTTGGGGTTGCAGGCTAAGAATTGCACCTAGTACATAGTGGGAAAACCCTGCAACCATTCTGGAAAGTCATTCTCCGTAGATGACCAGACTTAAGTATGGAAATCAGGTTCATTCATTGATTTTCATAGTACAGTAGAACAACCTCCTGTAAAGGACAAAACCTAATTGCAGAGCCAAATTGTCATTTAGAGAGAGATGTCCTCTTCTTACCGGAGAGTTGCTAAACAGTAAAAATGGTAATTTTGCAAATGAAAACTGTCCTTTGTAGAGAGGTGTCCTCTAAAGAGAGGTACTACTGTATATGCCTAAACACACACATTAGCCAGTCCTACAAATAGGTCTGGAATAACAACCAATTCTTTTTTTTTTTTTTTTTTGCTTATCCCTAGTACACGTGGTACAGGCCATGATAATCATGGTGGGTAGTTAGCGACTGCTTTTTACTGTAAGCGCACCACATGTCTACACATGTGAAAGCAGTTCGACTTTGCACTTACAAATGTGCCAGAGCCCCGTTTGGTTACTTGCACTCGCTGGTGGGGTTGGACTTTTGCAAGAATCGGGGGGCCATTGGAGCATTTTTTTTTTTTTTAAACAGAAAAAAGTGTCCAATGCGGGGATCGAACCCGGGTCGTAGTGGTCGTAAACCAAACGGTTTTAACCAGCCTTCCACCGACCACCATACAACCAATTCTAAGCCTTATTAAAGTTTTACTTATGTTGTTGTTGATAAGGCACAATTTGGATTATAAACACAAGGTAATAAGACCAAATCCAAATAAATAAATAGCGTGCTAGGTTTCATTAACAGCGTTGTTATCTTCTTCAGTACTTTTGTCTGAAGATGGTAACAACGCTGTTACCGAAACGTCACACACTATTTATTTATTTGGATTTGGTCTTATTACCTTGTGTTTATGTTGTTTCTTATCCCCCTTTGTGTAAAGATTACACAAATTCCATGAATTCATGCTCCTCGAGCTGTTTTATGATAAGCAGCAGCCTCTCCCAAAGGTCCTGTTTAGTACATCTAATAAAAGTCAAAATATGTTCTGGAGTTGCAGGTGCCAAGCTACATAAAGTATTACTTATCTTCTTGATCATCATGATGTTTTACTTATAATACTATAACATCAGAGTCTGTTCTATGAACAGGGGTAGAATCTCAGTAAGTTCTAAGCCTCATTAAAGTTTCACCTTAATTAATAAAGCTAAAAAATAAAGTAAGTGTGAAACTGTATGTTTCACCAATTAACTCTACCCAATGTAATTTTTTTTTTTTTTGCTTATCCCTAGTACATGTGGTACAGGCCATGATAATCATGGTGGGTAGAAGTAGGCGACTGCTTTTACTGTAAGTGCACCACATGTCTACACATGTGAAAAGCAGTTCGACTTTGCACTTACAAATGTGCCAGAGCCCCGTTTGGTTACTTGCGTTCGCTGGTGGGGTTGAACTTTTACAAGAATCAGGGGCCATTGGAGCATTTTTTTTAAATCAGAAAAAAGTACCCAATGCAGGAATCGAACCCGGGTCGTAGCGGTCAAAAACAAACGGTTTAGACCCTCCTTCCACCGACCCCTCCCAATGTAAATAAATGGGTAGAGCTGAATATAGTGTTTCATATAGATCCATCAATTTTTGATAAAGCACAATTGTAGATTATAGAGATACAAGAAAATAACAACAAAATCTACCCCACTTGCCCAAAATGTAGCTTGGCACCTGCAGCTCCAGAACACATTTTGGCTTGCATTAGATGCACTAAACAGGACCTTTGGGAAAGGCCTCTGCTTATCATAAAACAGCTCGAGGAGCATGAACTCATGGAATTCGTGTAATCTTTACACAAGGATATAAGAAACAACAACAGAAAATAAGATCTAAAACAAATAATTTAAACATTACACACTATTAAATTATTTGGATTAGTAGGTCTTATTATCTTGTAAAGTAAAACCTCCCTTTAGTGGACACCCCCCACTAGTGGACACCACTCTACAAAGGACAGTTTTAATTTGTAAAAATACCATTTTTATAATTTAGCAACTCTCTGGTAAGAGGATACCTCTTTCCCATAAGAACACTTTGGCTCTGTAACTAGGTGTTATCCTTTACAGGGAGGTTGTTTTACTGTATATATCAATTCTTATGATGCATTAGCGGGCCATCTGTTATCAAAATTCAAAACTATTATAGACGCGTATGATTCTTTTTAAAAATAAACAATTTCTACTGTCTTTACATTATAACAGCGGTATGGTAGATTAAACTGGCGAAACCGCTGGGAAGGTTCACTACTGATGAGCTAGGTCCTCCCATTAAATTTCTATTGGAATAAGGACAGTAGAAATTGTTTATTATTTAAAAAGAATCATACGTGTCTATAATAGTTTCGAAATTTGATATCAATTCTTATAATATCAGCCATCCTACAACCTAATAAGTCCAAGGTAATAAGACCAAATCCAAATAAATTAATAGTGTGTGACGTTTCGGTAACAGCATTGTTACCATCTTCAGACAAAAGTACTGAATGGTTTTAGAAGTACTGAATTCAGTACTTTTGTCTGAAGATGGTAACAACGCTGTAAACACAAGGTAATAAGACCAAATCCAAATAAATTAATAGTGTGTGACGTTTCGGTAACAGCATTGTTACCATCATCAGACAAAAGTACTGAATGGTTTTAGAAGTACTGAATTCAGTACTTTTGTCTGAAGATGGTAACAACGCTGTAAACACAAGGTAATAAGACCAAATAAATAAATAGTGTGTGACGTTTCGGTAACAGCATTGTTACCATCTTCAGACAAAAGTACTGAATGGTTTTAGAAGTACTGAATTCAGTACTTTTGTTTGAAGATGGTAACAACGCTGTTACTGAAACGTCACAACTATTTATTTATTTGGATTTGGTTTTCTTTCTTTCTTATCTCCACACTGGGTGAAGTAGAATGCATCTGCCTTTGTCATTAAGACTGGGAGCACTACTCAGTGGCAGGCCGACTTAGCTCCAAAAGAAATGGCCACCTCTGACATGAGGAACAGATGCCATGTGCAACCGCTCCTAACATGGGAGTACAAACGCTGCTCATCCTGTATCCCTGGAGCCCTTACAGGGTACTATCAGCCGGGCCAGCAAAGCCCAGGTTTTTTAGTGAGCTTGTTACTGCTCTCCCTCCTCCTTTTTCATCCGGCCTTGGGACCGGCAAAGGCGGAGTTGGATTTGGTCTTATTACCTTGTGTTTATAATCCAAATTGTGCCTTATCACTCCTAATAAGTCTTATCATCACTGTGCAGAAGCAGCCAAGGTGAAGGAAGAGATCTCCACCTGAAGAAGAGGCGGTCAGTACAACAGACCAGATGGAAGAAGACGATGAGGTGATCATCGAGGAAGTCCCACCAAAGAAGATTGAAGTGATCAACATCGCAGATGATCAGCCAATGGAGGAAGTAGAGCTCATTGAGTCCGACGGACCACCCAGGAAGAAAGCCAAGAGGAGACATCGTCACTGAGGACTTTATGTACATACAGCAGTAGTTGCCATTTTTAAACTGCCCTCATTTTTGTATGTGCCAGTGTGGTGAGTGTATATATTTCTTCTCTATCTCTCTGTGAGAACCTTTTTATTGAACATTTTTCTGTAATAAAAACTTCTTCTTTGGAATTTAAATAATTATGAATCTTTATTAAAAACTGTTGGATCGTTTTTTGAAGACAACTCTCAGATTTATAAAATTAAACTTTAAACATTTTTAATAAGGCACAATTTGGATTATAGATTATAAACACAAGGTAATAAGACCAAATCCAAATAAATAAATAGTGTGTGCGTTTTGGTGACAGTGTTGTTACCATCTTCAGACAAAAGTACTGAATTCAGTACTTCTAAAACCATTCAGTACTTTTGTCTGAAGATGGTAGCAACGCTGTTACCGAAACGTCACAAACTATTTATTTATTTGGATTTGGTCTTATTACCTTGTGTTTTTAAACATTTTTATATATAGAGAGAGTTAATTACATCATATTAAGGCAACAAAAGAATCGGATGACTCCTCGACATTTGGTCCAATCTGAGACTAAGCCTCTAATTGGTTGTGACGTCATGGTGACGCCCAATGTAAACAAAGGCTATGATTGGTCCATTGTTTTTTTTTTAACAAGATTTAATTTTTAATATTTTAAATACCTGTGATTAATTTTATATATATATATTGCCACTATTTTATAAAGGACTTTTTATTTTTATTTATTTTATATTAGCAATTTTTTTGTGTTTTAGCGCTAACGTAAACAAAGAAATACTGGCGTAATACATTCCAACGGTGATATTTGAATTTATAAATAGGCATATACAAAATTAATTAAAATATTATGATGTCACAACCAATGAGAAGCCTAGTCTCAGATTGGGCCAAATGTCAAGGGGTCAACCAAAGAATCATCTAATTTACATACATCGTCTAACCAGATTCAACTTGTGCAAAACAGACGATAAGGAAAAAATAAATAAAATAATATTAGAGGGTAAGTTCTTTTTTTTACAAGCTTTCACACTCAAAGAATAATCATTTTCTTGCTTAAAAACACATAGGGGGGGTTGGTGGAAGGCTGGTTAACCGTTTGGTTTTTCGACCACTACGACCCAGGTTCGATTCCCGCATTGGACACTTTTTTCTGTTTAAAAAAAAATATAAAGAATGCTCCAATGGCCCCCCGATTCTTGCGAAAGTCCAACCCCACCAGAGAGTGCAAGTAACCAAACGGGGCTCTGGCAACATTTGTAAGTGCAAAGTCGAACTGCTTTTCACATGTGTAGACATGTGGTACGCTTACAGTAAAAAAGCAGTCACTAACTACCCACCATGATTATCATGGCCTGTACCACGTTGTACTAGGGAATAAGCAACAAAAAAAAAAAAAACACATTTTGTGCTGCCATCTATGATAAGAGGTTGTGCTATCATGGAATGCCATTTCATCCAGTTCTGAACGTTTCTCTTCATTTCCTGTTGTAGTGTGATTGTTCAATAAATATTATAAAGAAGCTATTGGTCATTTGATTTTGAATTGAATTAGGTTTTGATTGATATTGTGCGTGATTAAGATTTTTTATTAGAGTTATTTACAAATAATTATATCAAAATTCAAAACAATTATAGACGCATATGATTATTTTTTTAAAAATAAACAGATGGTGCGCTAATGCATCATAATATAATTGCTATAATAAAAGACACAAATTGATATTTTTGGAAGTAATTGCTCAAAGCATATTGTATATAATTCTACTGTCCTCAAAGCTTATGTCCATAGTTCATCTAAAATACCCATTCCAAGAGTATCACTATAAAGGAAGATCGAAAATGCAATATAACAGCGGTATGGTAGATTAAACTGGTTAAAACTACTGGGAGGGTTCACCACTGATGAGCCAGCCCTCCCATTAATTTTTCCATTGCAGTAAGGACAGTAGAAATTGTTTTATTTTTAAAAGAAATCATACCCGTCTATAATAGTTTCGAATTTTGATAACAGATGGCACGCTAGTGTATCATCAAGAATTATATACATTGAGAATTGACTTGAGTTAAAATTATGTAGTAAAATTAGATAATAAGACTAAATCCAAATAAATAAATAGTGTGTGATGTTTTGGTAACAGCGATGTTACCATCATCAGA